GTGTGAGTGCGTCATGGAGGGTCTCGGAGGAAGTCTCGAAAATGATATTAGATAAATGCAGATTATGGACACATTCCACCACCCAAAAAAGAGACCACAAATCAGCCTCTGTCTTTGTGCGCATATAAGAAAAAGACCGATGGCTATGCATAACTGTACACCCATTTTCATCTCGTAAGATCCATGAAGCACCACTATGACGGTTAGAGTTTAACCAAGAGGAACCAACATTACATTTGAGGAAACCCTTGGGTGGTTTTTGCCATCGAATCATTACAGAAGGAACCTCCAAAACATTATCCTTTGCTCCTGAAAATGTATCAAACCATGTTGATTCCTCTTCATAGGATTTCTTAGCAATAAAAGAAACCTCGATATCTTTGGTTTCAAAAACAAAGGCATTTCTAGCTTTCCAAATTTCTCATAACAACCAAGGGAAAACATTCCTTGTATGAATATCCGTTGTTGATTTTTTGACAATCATGATAAGATGCACAAAATTTAAAAACGTTGAATTCCGAGAAAAACCACTTAACGGTATGGGGAAATTAGCTTGTTCCCAAGTAGCACGTGCTTTCAAACAAGTAAAGAGAACGTGACATATACTTTCTGCCGCATTACCGCATACTGAACATGTTGGGTCTACCGGAATCCCCCGAGTATTCAATCGTCATTTTACCGCTAAAGCACCAGATAGAGCGCGCCACATAAAATGTTTTATTTTTGGTGGGGCTTTAACCTTCCATAATTCTTTCCATAATTGTTTTTCAAGAGGAGTGAGAGAGTGCTCTGGAGGATGATCAAAGTCGACCAAAGCCTCTAACAATTTATACCCATTCCGAGTCGAATATGAGCCACTTGTTGTGAAACCCCATCTGATTGTATCTTCAAGTAACAGTGATGGTTTTAGGAGTAAGATCTTGAACATCATGTGCCGTAAAAGTTTGATTTAATAAATTAATATCCCACTGGTTCGATCCCTGCACAAATAAGTCTGAAACTTTTAGCGCTAGATTTATGGAACTATTCTCCCGGTACATTGGTGGCCGAGGAATAGTATCAATAATCCAATTTTCAGCCCAAACACGTGTATTAACCCCATTGCCAATATGTCGGTATAAACCCTGTTTTAATAATTCTCTACCGTGCATGATACTCCGACATGCATATGATGGACGTGTCCCCATACCACACTCCAGAAAATTTCCATTTTTAAAGTATTTGTCTTTCAAAATGCGAGAGACCAAATTTTGTTTATCTAGATTTTAATTAAATTTAAATACTATAATAACTAATAATATTATTTATTTTGAATCATTTAGCAGAAATTTAGTTAGTTATCAAATACAATAATATTAACTAATTTAGTTATTAATGTATATAATCGAATTTATTAAAACATGAGCATTAATTATAAATAATATTATTGATGCGAAATATTTACAAAAATTACCACTCAATTCATATTTATATAGGATTGTCTATAAAAATATAGTCATTAAAATTTTGATCAATATAGATAAAAATAAATATCATAATATTTGTGGGATAATCAACTCGGATTTGAGACCATGGAGATTTAGCCCAAATCAGAACATTGGTTTTGGTAGGCTTTTTCACTCGATATGATCCCACTTTTTGTTTCCTTCATCAAAAACTGACCATCCCTTACAGGCTAATGGACGACGAAAACACTTAACAGATTGATATATTGGTATAATAATTTTGAAAATAAATTCTAATATCAAATATTTTCTAATTAATTTGTACTAGTTAACTTAATAAATTGCAAACAAAATTACAAATTTTTCATTTAATTTATATTATATTTATTACACAAAGACATAAATATATGTGCAATTAAAATAACATAAGAAAATGTAGAAGTGTGTTTTTATAAAATTTAAGAATTTTAGTCAATTTAAATTAGGCTTAAATTATAATACTATTTTATGTTGTTTTACATTGATTAAAAGTTTCTGTATTAAATATTTTAATTATGAATTAATAAATAATATTAACTAATAATAATATTTTTATATTATTACATCTATTTATTTGATCAAAATTTTATTTTTATTTTATATATTGTCATATATTAAAAGTTATTTCTAATTTTGAAATTATAAATAAGGTCAACTTTATAATTTTTATTTTTATTGGAACACTTACAAATAAATAAAAGAATAGGGATTAGAATATAATAAATTATAAAAAAATTATTGCACTTTAAAATGAACTGCACATGTCAGTTATGAAGTATGTTAAAGCTGTTTGGAGTAAATGTGGGTATGCAATCCGAATTTTTCTTTAGTTGAGGAATGCTTATGGCACGTTAATATAGTTTGAGTATGTATCTTCACTGTCTTTGTAGTGTGGGCATGAATAAGCCATTTTCTTGTGATCAATATTGTCTTTTTAATCAAAAGGTTTTTGGAGCTAACCTCCATAATTACCCTATACTCAAAATGGAAACATATATTATCAGTTACTGTCATAAGAGCACCATTATTAAGGATATCTAAACATTAATATCTCACAAATTCAAAAACAAAATAAAGTAAATGAATATTCAATAATGAGATATTTTGCTAAAAGTATCTCAAATAAAATATTTTGAGGTACAAATAAGATATCTTAACAATTAAGATATTCTTTTATTTTTTTGTGTTGAAATTTGTGAAATGCATATATTTAGATATTTTTGATAATGTTTCTCTTTAACGGTCACTTGAATATGAGACCTATAGTTAAGCATTCCAAGTTGAATTAGCAAGTGATCACTATCTAGTTAATTAATTTATCATTATCAAAATATCTCATACTTATAGTTAATCCCAAAACACGTGATTCACGACAGACTTTGTTACTTGAGCACCAACTCACCATCACTACTTATTAGAAACATAATAAATTTCTCATTTTATAGAAGTGCAAGTTGAACATAAAGGAGGTATAATTAACATTTCTATCTCACCAAACCAAGGAGGCCCTGTTACAAATAAATTACATGATATAACCAGCACAGTCTTAAATAATCTAATGACCTTAGGCGAAATATAATATAATATAAAGGCCCTTTTATATAAAACTTATCAGCCTTTATTTATTATATTTTCTTAAATTAAAAAAAAATATGGTATTCAAAGAAAACAAATTTAAGTTAGGTTTTTGTGTGTAAATTAAGTTTTGTTAATGGAAAATTGAGATTACTGCAGGGTAATTTTTTTGTTCTTATTTGTATTTAGATTAGGTTTAATGAATCATGGATCTTTTTGTCATAATTTCACCAATTAATCAATATTTAACAAATAAAATAGACCTTAATAACTAGTAAAATAACACCTAAAATTTTGTTTGGACCCATAGACCCATGGCATTTGCCTATGTTGCCATGGGTCAGAGTTGCTTCTCTGTCTCCCCTTTGAGTCCTCTGAACACGTCAGTTAATATGTCAAGATGAACATCTGATAGTACATTTGAATCAATCAAATAATGCAAGAAAAACTTGTAAGAACAACAATCATCCAGTTATAGACTTAAAGGCTTCCAAATCGATTACAAAAAAATCGGTAGCATCAACATAAATCTCTGATCAAATATATTAATATTTGTTTTCAAAAAAGTAAATTAATATTTTATAGGTTTTTAACCTCAAAATTTTTTTGTAAGCTTTTGCATGAGTTTTCTAAATTTTGAGAAATTTCAAGGGTAATTATCTCAAATAAACTATTTTTAAGTTTTTGTCATAAAAGAACATTCAAAGAAGAAAATGACCAAAATAGTTTTTATTAAAAAGTTAAAAGATTTTTATGTCTCACACTCTATAGATACATATATATATATAAATAATTATAAAAGAAAAATGGTCTCTTGCTCTATAGATACATAATATAAATAAATAATTAAAAATAATATTTTTATAATTTCGGATGATATATTTTAAAATTTTAACATTTTTGTAATTTTTTCTTTCAGAATTTTCTTTTTGAAATTCGAAAATTCTTTTTACAATTTAAATATTTATTTTCTATTTTTAAAATTTTAAATCACATCCCAAATCTCAATCTCTTAACTCTAAACAAAAATTTTGTGGTTAGTTAACCTAGGGGAAGATGACAAAATATTTAACTTAGGGATATAAGGATATATTTAGCTTTTAATAAATTCTCTTTTGTAAACTTTCTTGCTTGAATGTTGTGTTTGTGAAAATAAACTAAAAAATAATTTCTCAATTACATGTTTAAGTATTTATATATTTAGTGAAAATTTCATACTAAGATACTCCATGTCTTAATATATTTATCATGGTTTTGAAATCTGGACTGGACCGGCCAATCAAACCGTTCTGACCGTGACTCGCTAAAGAATTCGAGTCCGGTTCGATTTAAAATCTAAATTTATAAAAAATTGGGTAAAATTGGCAAAAAAAACCGGTTCTAAAAAATTAACATATAATTTAATGTATTTTAAATTGTTATTAAAATATAATATTTTATAGTTAAATATTTAATTTATTTTCTATTTACTTATATTTTCGTAAGAAAGAATATAAGTAAATATATTTTTGAATGTTATATATTATTTTTATTTTGACATACTCATAAAATCTGACACTTTAGTTGTACAAATAAATAAATACGGTAATTTGAACAATCAATCGTTCAGTTTTTATCAATTTTAATTTTTTTTTTTTTTTTTTGACAACTTTTATCAATTTTAATTTAACATGATATTCACTTATTTTTGTATATATAGTTAGGTTTATACTTATTGGCTATTTTTGTAGATTTTCTATTTAAAAGCTAAACATATTTTGTGCTTGACACGATACAGGCCCGTTATTCCTTCTGGTTTTGATCCAGCAACAGATTCGACATCGTTCCCTTTTGTCCATAGCTTCTTAGAGCCCTCTAACTCAGCTAGAGTCTTCTTCATAGTTCATAACTTCATACGAATACATTCTCCGCTTCTTTTCTTTTCTGTTCTGTTCTTCTGGTAATAGCAAAAAAAAAAAAAATGTCAGCTTCGTGTCCTGTCTGCAATCTAACCCTTCCTCTTCCCCAAATCCAAAGGTAACAAACACTCCTCCTCCTCCTTCTTCTTCACATCATTCCTCCTCTCACGTTTTATTTCTCCGATAATTCAGCCATGTAAATTCCCACTTCGACTACGAAGACGAAATCGATCCGCAAATCGCAAATGACCACTACTTGGCTCTCCAACTCGCCTCTGAACCTTCTTCCTCCTCGTCTTCAACCCTAAATGAAACTCCTTTTCACAACCCACTTGTCAAAATCATTCCTTTTCATCAAAACGACACCGTAGCCTCCTTGCTCCGTTCACAGACCAAGTCCCCATTCTACAGAGTAGGCAACAACGGTTTGATTCATTTGCTAAAGACTTGCTTAGATTCAAAGTCGAAACCTTTAGAGTCCAACACGAGTTTACTCTCAAGCTACACTGATCATTACCAATCCACAAAGGAAGATAAAGGATGGGGATGTGGTTGGAGGAACATCCAAATGCAATGCTCTCACTTGCTCTCTCGTGATAATGACTTCAAAAGAGTTCTCTTTGGTGGCTCTAACTTCGTTCCTGACATCCCTTCGCTTCAGCGTTGGTTAGAGTTGGCTTGGAAGAGTGGGTTTGATGTCTCTGGAGGTTTACATTTCGATAACAAAGTCTACGGTTGTAAGAAATGGATTGGGACTACTGAATGTGCTGCGTTGTTACGTTCTTTCGGGGTGAGAGCTAGAGTTGTTGATTTTGCTCCTAAGGAGTCTCGGTCGATGTATCTTTCGGTTCCTGGGTCTGTTGGTGCTCCTAAGAGAAGGGGGTATGGTCCTATGGATAGGTATGTGGTTAAAAAGGGTGAAAGTGGGAAGGAGAAAAGTGGTTGTAGCTCTTCTAGGATTGGCAAAGGAGCGGTTTTGATGGATTGGGTTTGGAATTACTTTTCAGACAACAGGTTGAATGTTTCCTCTGGTGTTCATCTCACAAACAAAGGGTAGGTGGTTGTGTTTCTGTTNGAAGGGGGTATGGTCCTATGGATAGGTATGTGGTTAAAAAGGGTGAAAGTGGGAAGGAGAAAAGTGGTTGTAGCTCTTCTAGGATTGGCAAAGGAGCGGTTTTGATGGATTGGGTTTGGAATTACTTTTCAGACAACAGGTTGAATGTTTCCTCTGGTGTTCATCTCACAAACAAAGGGTAGGTGGTTGTGTTTCTGTTATCTTGATCTTGGCAAAAGACAAATCATTTTTTTTTGTGTGTGTCCTGCAGGCCTTTGTATTTCCAACATGAAGGGCACTCGAGAACAATCGTTGGGATTCAGAGACGGTTGCAAGGGACTACATTTACTCCTCAGTATAATCTCCTGATTCTGGACCCAGCTGATGTGAGTATACTGTTGTTTTTTTTAATAAAAATGAACATCAGCTTTTTACTTAATGTTATATTTGATTAATGATGGTGACTTTTGAATGTGAGAATGCAGTTTACTAGAGGTATAGAGAAAGCGCTGGTAGATAAGAGAGGGTGGGAGGGATATCTTAAGAGAGGAGCTCACACACTGACGTGTCCTGAGTATCAGGTCTCAGCTTCAAACTCTAATCGGTTTGATATTTGGTATCTTAGTGATCATAGTTTAGTGATATCTAATTTGTTCCGGGTGTGATTGGGATTCTGATGATATATATACATACATGCAGATATTGTACGTTGATAATGGAATTGCTGTTGGTGAGGAGTTGGAGCAGCTCAAGACCATTGATGCTCACTTTGTTGAATTTTAATGGCTTCCACAAACACTGAAGAATGATTATGAGAAGATTCTTAAGTTGGTTGCAATTTGAACTTTTGTAGCGTACTTAACATTAGTTGCAACTGTGTACTTATGTACCATATATACATTCTTTGGCTTATACAATGTGTCAAGAGCAAGCCATGTTAAACATTTTTCAATAGTGTGGATTCTTGGATCATATTATAAACGAACTTGGATTGTTGTGAGAAACACCAAGGATTTAAAAGATGTGGCTATTTATTAGAAAAAAAACTGAGAAATTACAGAATGACATGTTTTAGATCTGACCAGATATAACATAACAACACCTAAAAATATTGATGTCTTTTCTCAAAAGAAATTGAAAGACTTTTGAGAGATAGTCATTAAGAACAAAAAGCTATAGAATTTTTCTTACCATCTCGCAGTTTGGTGATCACTTCCACTCTTCTCTGGCAACAAAACTTAGTGTGCCTCAAAATGAAAACAACACAACTTCCCCTGTTGCTCTTTGACATTTTTGAAGGTTAGTTAAGAGGCAGATGCAGCCACCTTCTTCCGTACAATCCTCTTTCGCCGAGCCTTTGGAGGTGGAGAATCTGAAGCTGAGTCCTGTTGCTTCATACCAAGTAGTCCTGAGACTATTGCATTCTTTGAGATGAACCATCTTGAAGCTGGCTTTGCTGCTGCTTCCTCTGAGGACCGGTTGTATGCTTTTGCCAGCAGTTCATCAGACTGAGCCAGCGGGTCTGCCTCCACACCTAGCCATACTTGTCTTGATCTCTCCCCTAACTGAACGTTCATAATCCTGTTCCACATCCATCCATGTTCATTACACAAATCCTTAAATTCTTGATCCACAGACCAAAGGTTTCCTAAGGGATGAAAGAGAAGAATACCTCACGGCAGTGCCAAAGAAGAGAGCTACTCCGATAACATCAAAGTGGTTGCTCATTGCTCTTTCAAACCCGCACAATAGCTGGTATCTCAAGTTTGCATATAATCCAAGAAAGGCACCATAACCAAGCGCGTTCGTGGTGATTGATGGGACCGTCACTGATACTCTGTTAGCACAAAGATACAAAAAGTTATAAATCAACCATGAGCTGAAGGAAAAGAGATGCTGCTTAAGCTAATACCGAGAATGTTATAATCACAGGATGTAAACAGAAGGTATGTTATGACCTGTTTTTCTTCTTTCCAGCGAGAAAGTTTGACAACGAACCCTGGAGAGTTCCTGTGGCCACTCCAAGAATGGATAACTCTGCAGCCTTGTAGAAAAGAGAATGAATCCTCTTCTGCAGGTCAAATTCTCTAAGCGGATAACTCATCTCAAATACGTTATTTGGTAGCTTCTGCAGTGTATTCTGCAGGTCAAACCTAAATGTATTCCCATAAGAACGACATGGAGCAAGCAGCCAAACAGCAGCTACATTGCATGCTGATACGGTAAGAACATTAATGAGTGCAAGATCCCATTCCTCTTTTATTCTGCAAATAACACAGCAAACAATTTAGGACAAGGAAATCACAGAAAGCTACAAAACCTATAGATGTAGAGACAGTTTATGTTACCTTTCCTTACGAGTCTTCACCTCCCACCAAACTGAGCATCCAACCGTGGCAGCTTGCTCCAAAAGAAGTCTGTAGAGAAATGAAGGATCCGCCAACATCCTACACAAAGACAGGTCATAGTCAGGACTGAAGAAGTTCACATCGACTTATGGTTCTTCAGAAGATAACTTACCTGCCAACAAAGGCCCTAGACAATCCCTGAGGAAGAGCACGGGAGATGAATCTGGTTGTTGTAGGACGAGCATTAATAGCAAGAAACTTAACCATTTGTGCTGAGCTGACCAAACCCTGAAGATTCCAGAAATTTAAAAGATGACAGGTCAGCATCCCTAAACCATAAAACGAAAGCTTTGAGGATATTCTACCATTTCATATGCTTGACGGAGGCCAGCAGGCAAATCCATCATTGTCTTTTGCCACTCGTTCAACACAGCATCAACAAACTTCCTATCAAATAGCTGCAGAGAAAAAAAAACACAATCTCGTTACTGGAGTGACACCATGACAATAAAATCCATAAAAAAAACGAAACTCTTACCTCTGCAAGAAACATCCTACGCCTAAAGAGTCCACCTTCATCACCATCATCGTCATCATCAAATTCATCAAAGTAATCATCATCATCACCATCATCGTCCCCTCCATCGCCACCACCGAAATTAACTATCTTCCCAATGTCTCCACCTCCACCTCCAGTTGCAATCTACAATTTAATTAAAAAAATCAAACAACTAAGCTTTTTCTTTTCAGTGAAAATTAAATCATACAGTAAAGCCTATATCAACACGCAAAATCATTATTCCTAACATCTTCTTGAGATACAAATCCAATTATTTACATCCACAGATTATTGTAACACATTGAAACTTATACAATTCATTCGCCTTAATATCTACTAGTGGCTGAGTGAGTACTAATAGCTCCAAGAAGATTGAACAACTCTCTGCCCTTAGTAAACAACTTAAAGAATCATAGAAACATCAGAACAGAGAGAACAGAGCAAGACGATAGATAAAAAAAGGCGCAGCCTTTATAAATAGAATTCACTAAACCCATTCTATAACTCTTTGATTAGGAACAAGAAGAGAGAGAGGAACCTCAGGGCTTGACTCGACTTTCTTCTGGGTCATATCAAGTTTTCCTTTTTCCAAAGTTACAGCTCCGACGGAACCAAACTTCCCACCTTTCATCTCCGGACACATCTGAGCACTTGGAGAGGAAGAAGAAGTGCCTAACTCGCTGCTGAATTGCAGCTGTAAGCATCGTTCGAGACCCGAAACTGAGTCTCCGACGGAGTCGATAAGGGAAGAGGAGGAAGCTCTGACGATGAAGCCGTTGCCGCGACGACGGAGGTTACAAGGGAGAGTGGAGATAGAGCGAGGGATTGGTAGTAAAGATAAGGGTTTGAGTGGAGATAAGGGTTTTGGAGCGACGACGCTGCTCTGAAACACCATATGAGACATGGCTTCTTTTAAAAGACTCAACCTTTTTGGGATTCAGGTGAAGATTTGTGAGGCTTCTTGAAGAGAAAGGCGTGTGTTTGCTCTCTTTTGGGGATGTCAGAGAGATGAGAAGAGGAGATATCGCCAATGAGACGATTATACAGAACAAACCCAATCTTGGTTCCTTTCTCTTTTTTTTTTTTCCACCAACTCGANGACATGGCTTCTTTTAAAAGACTCAACCTTTTTGGGATTCAGGTGAAGATTTGTGAGGCTTCTTGAAGAGAAAGGCGTGTGTTTGCTCTCTTTTGGGGATGTCAGAGAGATGAGAAGAGGAGATATCGCCAATGAGACGATTATACAGAACAAACCCAATCTTGGTTCCTTTCTCTTTTTTTTTTTTCCACCAACTCGACCTCTAATACTTCTGGCTTACACCGAGGGTTTCAAGTCGGTCATAAAGGGCCAATGGTGTCTTTCCAAGTGTGTATATTTTAAGCATCTACGAATACATCCAATTTCGAAGTTCCATGGTTTTGTTGATTGGCATATGTCAAGAGGAGATTAAATCGAATGAAGAAAAAAATACAATGTTATCAAATCAAATCTCTTTCTATCAGTTTACACGTTTCACATAGACATACCTCAAGAGAGTTTTTTGTTGTTGTTTAAATGGTAGTGATACAGACAATTAATAAAATGAATAGAAAACATAAGAAAACGAAAATGACACATTACAAAAACAGAACTAAATATTAAAACACGCAGATACAAAACAGATGAATAGCATCGTCTTCTTCCTCTAGTCAATATGGCCAAAGCTTGACTATAAGTGTATATCTAAAAGGATATACACACTGGTCGTCTTTAGTTTTGGGATCTTTTGCGCAAACTTAGCTTTAGCCATCCTAGAAACCGAAGTCAATTGGTTGGCTTCTTATTGGAGGATAGGTTACTTGTGGTCTCCCGGTTGCTGCATTCTCTGTTGGTTTCGCTGTTGTTGTAACGGGTTCAGGCAGCGGTGGCGGAGGCATGGTTTGGCTATTATCCTCTGTGGCGACTAGAGCTGTTTCTGTGTTTGGAGTTGAAGACGGATCGCTTTTGTCTTCCGAAGGAGTCTCCTCCTTCTCTGCCACAGGAGGCTCAGACACTGTCTCTGTTACCGGTCCATCCACATGTTCTGCTGTTTCAGTAACAGCTGCAGTTTCCGGTGCTGCGGACTCGGATTCAGCTGCAGTTTCTTGCGCTTCGGACTCGGAAGCAGCTGCAGTTTCTTGCGCTTCGGACTCGGAAGCAGCTGCAGTTTCCTGTACAGCTGACTCGGAAGCAGCTGTAGTTTCCTGTGCAGCTGACTCAGGATCAGCGGCAGTTTCAGGCGCCGACTCGGTCTGTGATGGCTCAGAAGATGGAGCCGCCTCAATAGCCAACGGCTTAGCTGGTTCTTCAATAGCCAATGGCTTGGTCGGTTCTTGCGTCTTCAGTGTGGGTAGAGGTTTTTTGGGAGCAGAAATAGAAGCAAAGATTGATGACATTCCGGGAGGGAGAATTTCTATTGGAGGCTTTTTGGATGCATCAGATAGACTCGTGAGCTTTGGATCCTCAAGAGAAGCCAAAAACGCACTTGCAGCATCGGTTTTAGAAGATGGAGCTTGCTCAACTTCCTTCTGCAGCGTTTTATTCCAAGCCTGGACCAAGTTCTTTAGAGTTGGACGACCATGTGCCTGTGTGAATAGAAAAGTCAGAAACAATACAAGTTTCATAAGAAAGGAAAAAAAGATTGGTGAAACTGAAATGTTACATGAGCATGAAGTACAGCTTCTGCGAGCATCCCTGTGTCTTGCCATGCCTTCTCCATGAGCGCATTGTCTCCCAGAACTGCAGCAGCAAATGCTGATTCTCGCCCCAGGCCTATGGAGATCAGACTGTTTATCAGGCCCTGCATCAAATTTAAAACAGCCTTTCAGTAAAGGAACCAGAACATAAAAGAATATTCCGTCTACAGTTTTCAAGATCGTATCTACTGAACAAAACAACAGGCCGTTAGATTAGAAGCCTAAAAGAAATTGCGGACATACACTTAAGCGTGTCAATTCTCCATGGTTTGCTAGGCGTAATGCAAGGCCTCGCAACTCATGACCCTGTAAAGCGCCTTTGACCGAACCTGCAGTGGCTAGTCTTTTCAGGGCCTCGCGAGCTATGTCAGCGTGCCCAGTGGCATCTGCAGCATCTATAAGGTCGAGAAACTCCTTCGCGAATTTCACTATTCCCTCCACCGCTTCAACAACGTCTTCTTTCTTCTCAGCTGTCAAAGAGAGAATGTCACTCAAATCCAGGCCTAAACCGTCCTGTCCAATGTCCCTGCTATTACTCATTGTGAGAAGACAATGAAGAGCCCTCTTCAGATCGTTGCTCTGAATCGCTAGGTCAAACTCCAGCCTGAGAACACGTGTGAGTGAAAATATATCATTTTTGTGTAAGTTGACAGCTCGAATGAAGGATCGACCAAGTATGAGTGAAACACTGAGTTCTGTTGACACTCCACCATAAGCAAAGCAGATACTAAAGAAAACTGAGAATAGTAGGAATAGAATGAAGGAATTAGCTGCAAGAAACATAATATACTTCTTGTACCTCTTAGATATTCCAGGCAAATGAAGAGCTTCTGTTGCATATCCCATCCCTAGCATAAACTGTGCCAGATCGTCATGATGTTCTCTCCCAAGTCTACTTGCCCTGCGCAACAGAAAAAAAATGTTGTGTATTTCAGCTAGTTTACTACTCGCGTAAAGACGATATGATGAAAAATGTATCAATACCATTTAACTGCACTAACAGCATCCCCGTACGCAGCAAGACAGCGACAACGGATACCAGGATGGCTCAATGATATGGCATGGGCACACATGTACCTATCAAGAAACGGTGTCAGACAATAATTTATATAAGTAGTTAAATATTTATATGATCATTCAGTAGGTCATTATCTATATGACCATTCAAGTGACTGATAGGACGATCATGGCAAGACATATTTGTGGTACGTTGAAAACTTGGACTGAAAATGTCAGAAGTCAAGGGACCCTACCTAAGAATGAAAAGAAAAAACCTTGATCTAACTGTATAACGTGTCTTCAAAAAGGAAATCTTTTAGCAAGAATCAGTTTTGCTCTAAGGTAAGAACATGGAAATTCTTGATACCTGTCAATGAGCCAAAGAACTCCATCACGTACACCAACAACAACAAGAGGCCCCACTGGTCGTTTCTGCTCCACTGGGAAACGAGTAACAGCAACTGAGACTCCACCACCACCTACAGCTACCTCACTGGCCCTTCGTTCATCCATGTCATCACCATCACCTCTAGATTGTCTCGGCAATGATAAAAATGGTGGAACAGATGGAGGGTTTTGGAAAGAAGCTAAACGTACCACCTACAATAAAAAAAAAGTATACACATGAGGTGAAAGTTTGACATAGATGTCGATACGAATGCAGTACAAAAGTTCAAGATTAGACATGAAAAATTAAGCTTCAAAATCAGTTATGTATATACATATATATATATATATATATATATATATATATATATATCATGTAAAGCAAGAAATGTCCACCTGCAACATGGGGGCCCTCAACAATATCCTTTCTTGCTTGGCATTCTGGGCACCTTCTACTGTGATTAAGGCTAACTCACCATGCTCTGCAACTGCTCTAGCCTGTGCCTCCTTAAGTTTAATTTCTTCCTTCATCTTCATAGTCTCTATATCAATTTCAGAAACTCCCGCATCCACAAAAACACATCTGGAAATTGAGGCATGGAAGAAAGTATTAGCATTCCTCCCCAGATATTTTGATTCAGAAAATAGTAAATTAAGGTAATCATGCCCTTAACAAAGTCAAAATAATGGAAAATACATTCAAAGAGTTATAATCTCCCAGAAGTTGGATTATGCACAATCAAGATAATGAAAATAACTGGTGATACACAACAGCTGTAAAACAGTTTTTAATTTGTTTCATCCAAGTGGAAGTCTTGAAGAAGCATTCAAGGTAACAGATACAGAGCAGAAGGAAGTTCGTGGATCATATATAGAACATTAAGCTTACTCAATTGTGGTTGGTGTAGCAACAAACAGCTGCCTGCGGTGCCAAACAGCTCCAGTAGCATGTGAAATGGCAACATCACCAAGATATCTATACTGAGGGCGCAACGACGATATGACCATGTATTTTTGATAAGCAAAAGCGCAATACTCAACTGTTTGGTCCCACGCTGTCCACTCTGGCTGAGGTAGCATACCACCTACTGGCTCAAAATTTTCCCAACTGCACATTGAAAATTCCACGTGGATTAATATGGAGCCAAGGAACTACAACATGAAAATGTCTCAAAACTGAAGTCAAGCTGACGAAACTGAAAGCCACGAATCACCTATAGAGCTGGTAGTTTAGGGGTGCGGACTCGGTAGATCTCTGCGAAGAACCATCATCATAGCTAGAAAACGAAGAAACATTACTATTTCCAAATCCTGAGAGTGGCATTGATTGAATGGTTGAAATAGCGGAAGCAGCAACAGGACTAATCCTTCGGGATGTGCGATAGCCTATTCCAAGTAGAGCACCACCATGCAGTCCGATGACCTGCAAAAAGAGAAAATTTGAAACACATTATTGCTTACCTAAGCCTAGAAGTCAAGAATCTACATACTATCCTCTGATAAGTTTTACAAACATAAATACACAACCACTTGGAGTCGAGAAGAATTCTCAATGCGTAAGATTCTCATGTTCATCAACCTTGTCCTTTTGGTGGAACGTAATATATAATAAACAACTGGATTCAAGTTTTACTTTTGTTTATCTGTAGTAGTTTTTCGATATATTCAATGCAAAGTTCACTCGAATTCTTAGGAGAATCTTTACTTTAGATAAACTATTCAATGCAACCACTTCAAAAGATAGCTCGAGAATACATAAAGAG